ACTTAGGTGTGGTCACGTGAGCGGTCACTGCTCACGCCGGGCGTCGACCAACAGCTACAGTCAGACCAGCGAGAGGTCGTACTTTTCCTCTCCTGTAAACTCCTATGCTGCCCGTGCTATGAGAAGTACGTCCTTTCGCTTGTCCCACTATAGGTCTGGCAGTACCGCCCCTACGCCGGAAATCAGCCAGGTAGACGAGAGTGCACCATACGGTGGCGCATCATGGCCCGGAAGGCCACACACAAGTTATAAGGGCACAGCCGGCACAGCTCATGTGCAAACAAGACGTTGTTGTAACCCTCGTCGAGGTTGAAGCCTACCCCGCGCTTGCGATGACAGGGGACAGATCCAAAGCTGGCGCCATGGCCTGCGACGGTAGGCAACTCGCCCGCACGCGTGCGTGCGGTGCAGTATGCCTTCAAATGTGGACGGGGCGAGTCCGTCACCTGGCGCGCTCTCTCGGTCCTTAAAAGAACTATCTCGCCGCTGGCCGGTCGGCCGGTCGGCCGGTCGGCCGGTCGGCCGGTCGGCCGGCCTACCGGCGGCGCATCGCAACTCAGCTGTCTGCTGGCATGCTGTAGCGGTATGACAACGAATGGAATAATATGCTCCGTGCGCTCAAGTTTCAACTCGAGATTTTGTCTGAATTCATGTGTGTATATAAAACTGTGGCACCTGAACGCTGTTCGTCGGTCTTCTACAAGACGTCGACCTTGCCGTTGGGTTGATTTAAGTTTAAGTTGATTTAAATCGTGTTGATAATGGTATATGTGCTACTCAGGTGAGCAGACATAACCTTCCGCTAGGCTCGTCTTCTGCGTTTAATTTTACTTTCACTTGTGCTAATCTCTAGTTTGCCAGCTACTTAAGTTTCGTTGTGGGCTTTGCTTACTTTCGCACAGTTTCGTAGTATGGTGGTTTTTCGCGGAGTCAAATGCTGCTGTGAATTGTGTTTACTGTGCCATATCCGATGTTGTTGTTTGTATCGCGTTTGCCTCCTCTACTTCTAACGAGTTGCCTGCTTTTTGCCTGTCTCGTCTTTTTGTGTGATTGCGGCAAGTTTCAGTGTGTTCCACCATTGATATTCTTTATGCAATGTTGCAGGTTTGAAATCCGTGTCTCTGGCCCTTATTGCTCCATTTCTGACATCGCTGTGTTGCCGTCATCAACTTGTGTTCAACTAGTTCAACCCCTATGGTGCAGAAATGGTTAGGTGACTGGTGTGATCAATGAGGTATGTGTAATTTTCATTGACTCAGTATGTGGTCTAAAAGTTTGGGCAATTGATTTTAGTGGTTGACTTTCTTTGTTTCAGTGTGAGGTCATGCAGACCAACGACCAGTCGAGCTCATCCCCAGACATGACAGTAATTTGTTTACCTGTTGTATGTGATACGTGACAAGTTGTATTTATATTTGTTTGACCTGGACCTGGACGTCATTCCTACGCCTGTTTCACCCTTGACTCCAGCAGGAATGAGGTAAAGGCAGGTGATCATTATTAATTGTTCTGCTTCATACAAGCTGTATTTTAAGTGCCTTTTAATGTATTTTTGAATTTTTTAGGTCTTTGCCCTGGACTGGATCTGTGGACTGTTGAGGCTGTTACTGGAATCGGTTGCGACAGTTTACTCACACTCTAACCACTTTGGAGAAAAAATGTCTATTGGAATAAGGAAGAGGATGTTCGGGGATACATACAGTTGATGAGACTTCTGTTTGTCAAGCTCTTTTCTAATTCAGTAAAGTAAATCAACTGGATCATGCGCATGGATTTGCATGCAAATGTAAGCTGTTTGTATTGTTAAAGTACCTTTGCGTCAGAAAGTAAAACAGTGCTTCATCATCAGTGAGGATATATTTTGACTCTATCTGTCTGTAGTGCTCTCATAAATGTTCAATCGGCATGTGTTGCTTTAAAATTTTGCCTTCATGTTTACCTTTGGAATCCTTTTGGAGTTTATTTTGTTTATCTTTAGTTAATAATCAATAGACATTTTGTCTTCTTGTTCATTTGTTATTACAAGGAATTTTGTAGTAGGAAGTGTATTTCTTATCTGCCTGCACAACTTTAGTTTCTTCTCTCATGGGTGTGAAGTTTTGTTTGTAGTTCTGTTTTCATTTTGCACAATTTTATGCAGAACTAGCATTTCTATCTTTGCATAGGATTGTAGCCGGAAATAGTTTCTTAAAACGGTTGTTTACATGCAATGTTGTTTTAAAATAATACTTGAGTATGCTGATATGGTCAGATGCCGCCTAAGATGCCCATATTTCTGTAAGTTTATCCGCTCTTACTTTCACATTTCAAACTTGTCAATGAGTGCCTTACTCCTTTCTTCAAGATTTTGGTCAGTTTTCTTTATTGTTTTTTTTTTTTTTTTAGCAACTGAATGTAATTTGAATCGGATTTAGTGAAGGCTGCTTCAATGCCTGTCTTGTGTGAATCACCTCAGAAATTCTTTAACTGGGTGACAATTGATGTTTTGTTTTTTATAAATGTTGATTTTGCATACCTTATTTTACATCTGTTTGTGATTAGATAATTTAAAAGCAGTGTTCTTGTGATCTGTTTGATCTCTCAGTTTAGTGAGCTTACAAATAATTTCCATTTCTCTTGA